TATCACTGTAATATTAGTACAATTAGAAACAGGGTGCTGAGGAAGTCACTCCTTTCCATTCATTCAATTTTTTTTTTTTGAGACAGGGTCTTGCTATGCAGTTCAAGCTGGCCTTGAACTTGTGGCAATCCTCCTGCCTCAGGCTCCCAGTGCTGGGGTTACAGGTTTGTGCCACCATGCCCAGCCATCCATTTAATTTTAAATAACACCCTAGGGCTATTCCTCCTTCCATTGGCCTTAGAGAGGTAGAAAATCATATAACAACAACTCACGAGATCTCTGATGCTGTAGACGAGATTTCATGCGTGTCGGATCCCTTGGCCTGAACTTTAGTCATCTTCACCCTACTCAAACCTCATTAAGGTTCATAAATATGCACTACACGTCATACATGTAGTTAAGATCAGAGTGAATTTTTGGACCAGCATGTGTGTTGAGAGCCCCTGAGATGACTCAACACTGTCACTCATTCCTGTCCATCACGCCTAGAGACTCTGGTGAGGCACCTGGCCTGAGCTGTAAATCCTTAAATTCTGAAAGCCTGATTTATCAGGGGCTGTTGCTGCTGCTGTGTGCTGCTATCTGTGTTCTGTGCTTTTGCTATCCTGTCACCCCAGCACCACTTTTCTGTTTGTGACATATCTTTTGCTGGCACAGACTTGCTCTGAGCACAACTTCCCACGATCTTCAAGAAATGTAGCTGCTTTTCACTTGCCATTTGTAGTGTACACTTGCAATTCTTTGCTCGTCATTCAAAAGAGCCTAAAATATATCTGCTAAGTTCATCACACAGTAACACTGTGATCTCTTTAACTCTTTGGGCCTAAAAGTTATTCCCTCTCTAGCACAATCTGCCAAGCAGGGATTTTTCTAGACTCTTTGGTGGACATAATTTATGTGGAAATGTATGATCTGCCTGGTGGAGGCCAGTTTTGAATGTATAATGTACATGAAGCTAATCCTTCAAATTCACGACCCTTCTGTCATTATCTGTAGCCTTAAAGAGTCCAGAAATATGCAGCCTCCTTTTAGTAATTTGTTAGAAACTGCTTGATGAGATTTATGCCGATTAAACCTACCACTAAGGTACTTCTGAGTAGGGTTAGATTTTTGGCTCCAAAACATCAGGATAGTAAGTGCCTCAAAAGAAAAAAAATCACCTGTAAAATAAGTGATGAAACTCCCATTAGTGCAGTCAGGTAAACTTTACCTTGGACTACACAGCGGGTGAATTTGTTAAGTCACTACCATGCTAATTCTCACTGTACATGTCCCTTTTTTTTACTACTCTAAGAAAGTGGCCAGGCTTTTGTTGTTCACCTGCCTCTGGAGCTGAGGGTTGCGGGAAACAGGGCAGAACTGCTCAAAGACAACACTCTCTCTGGGATTTGGAAACAGACTCTCCAAACTCCCCTTCTTTGAGGGGATTGAGTTTTTTCAGCCCAAAGAGTGATGGCAAGGTAGGAGTGGGCAGGTTTTTCCAGTGGGAAAATGTCCCCACTTCCTAGTAGCTGTCTCGGAGGAGCATGACTTCAGACCAGCACCCAGTATGACACCTCTCAGGATGGAGCCCTAGGTATGGGGTTCCCCTACCTCTGCCAAGATCCCATGGTCCAGGAGACAGTGGAGCTGACCACCACCCAGAAATAACATGGACCTGGACACCAAATCACCCAGGGGACCTGGCTGAATCTTCTAGAAAGCACAAACCTTCTAGGGGCTGGAGCAGGGAGAAAGGAAGCCCTTGTAAAGAAAGAATTTGAATTTCATAGTCCACTCTTCAAAACTGGCAGTTTGAAGTCAAACTTCATTTGATTTAGAAAATAAAGTAATAAACCAAAGAATAAAACTGGATCAAATGTAACTATTCCCATGAAAGTAGAATAGAATGGTCCCCTTTAAGCCTGGGGAATATCTGTGAGAATCCCTTCAATTGCTTTTCCCATTTTTGCTTTACCCCTTTTTATTTTATTTTTATTTTTATTTATTTATTTTTTTGTTTGTTTGTTTTGTTTTTGGTACCAGAGATCGAACTTGGGTCCTTGTGCTTGCGCAGCAGGCAGCAAAACCACTGAGGTAAATCCTCAGCCCTGCTTTACCCCTTTTTAAAAACTTGCGTGCCAGATTATTTTCAAGGTACTCGTATCACCTTCTGGGTCCAAAGGGTATCAAATGGGGCTAAGCAATGTCCTTGAGGGTCCTTGGGGATCATAAGTAGACCAGAGAAGAGGAAAAAAAAGAGAAGATGAGAAGAAGAAATGAAAAAGAAGGAAAAGTAAGGAGCCAAGAAAGAGCTAACCTAAAGCATTGCTACCTAAAGCAATGATAACCCTGTGAGTAGAGAGGGTAGACGCACTGTTAGGCAGGCATTTTTTTTTTTGGTACTGGGGATCGAACTCGGGTCCTTGTGCTTGGGAGGCAGGTGGCCTGAACCACTGAGGTAAATCCCCGGCCTAGGCAGGCATTCTTGAGCCAAGCCAAAGGCTGATGCAATTAGATTCTGTCTCTCAGGGCTTTGAGATGGTAAGAGAAAGAGATATGCAGATGTGCAGAGAAAAACTGAAGTGCTGGTTCCTTCAGCTTCTCCACCTGGGGACCAGTCAAACAAGTCCAGCTGCACTTCCTGCCTTAGGTTCTGTGAACCACCCCATGTCCTGTCCAAATCCCCTTTTCTACTTAAGCAAATTGAACTTGTATTTCTGCTAATTGCAACCAAAATAATCTGCACTGGGATACTCCCCAATGCCTCATGATGAAGTCCAGACTCCCAAACCCAGTAGTAAAGCCCTTCATGATCTGGTGCCTGCTTACTCTCCATCCTTCCTGTCAACACCTTCAACTCCTGCTCCATTTCAGCCAAATTGAACTACTCTTCAGCACTTTCTGCTCTCTGGGCTTTTTGCACTGTGTTTTCTGTGCTTGTAACACCACTTGGCAATTGCCCTGTTTGCTTTGTCGGTGTAGGTGTGTCATTTCCTCCAAGAAACACTTCTCAGTGACACCTCCAATGCAGTTTCTTCTCCATACTCTCAGAGTGCCTTTACCCCTTTGTTCCTATTATTACATATGATATAATGATTGCCAGTTGGCTCTTCTTCCACCCTAGATTGTGAGCTCTGGGACAGCAAGGAAGGAGTCCTGATCACTGTTGTATCTGGGTGTCTAACATCATCCTGGTACTTGGCTGCACCCAATAAATACTTGTTGAATGAATGAATGCCATACCTTCCTTGCCATCAGTCATCTACCCCAGCTGCAGACAATGTTGAAGAGGAAAAATGAAAATTACTTTGGCCTCAAGCTATGGACTGTGATTTGGAAATACCCCGGAGGTCAAGAATCAGTTACCCTGATGGTTTGGGAATATCCTGTTACCTTCATTGTATCTTCTTTCTTCTTTATTTAATGATTTGCCAGAGTTTCTAATTGGAGAAGAGACCTCAAGGCATTTATTGACTCAAATGTGCTGCATCGCAAGGGAGATTTTGAGAATAAAACTAGAATTTAACATATTAGAAATTCAATCCATCTGAGATCTCTTAGAAAGGTTTGCCCTTGGGTCATTTAGCACAGACTTTCATAGTCACTGAAAACTGTTGTCATGGTAATCATGGAACCTTTCATGATTTTTGTATATGAGTTAATGAAGATACTGGAAGTAGCCCAAAGGAATTCATACTTGGGTGTACATTTGTCTCCATATTAACCCAATCATTGTTTTTAACACACATCTGCCCCAGGGCTGGTTCTCTTGGCTCATGGTTCTGACAGGAATAAATAAACAACTGCTTCCTTTTTAGTATTTCAGCTTAGGAGGCTGTGGATGGCTGCCCTTTTGGTCTCATTTCAACAGGAAATCCCACATGGAAGGTTTAAAGGAGGAGAAGAAACAAGAGTGGCTGTATAAAGCAAATCTCTTTCTTTCATTTCAAGTTATTAGTGTTGCTGATTTCAAGGCACTTAATACTTATAAAGAAAGTTACAATTGTGGACCATGGAATGCAGAACCCTGACTGTATCTAAAGCCTTTATTTTATGGTTGTTTATAAACACATCTCGCCTGAAGCTTCCATTAAACCTACAAATATGGATCCAGATATCCCAGTGTGGTCACAATATGTGAGTGTGAGATTTTCCATCTGTGTTCTATTCGACTAGTGATTTCCCAACATCCACTTGTCCCTTCTTTCTTTTTTTTCTTGTCCCTTCTTTCTTAGTAATAGAACCCTTCATTTTTAGTAAAGCATGTGGATGTTTGAAATCAAGACATTTCCCACTCTTTCTTACTGCTGACCAATGGTATTTAAGTAGAAGCAGGACATTTAATTTTCTTGATTTATCTTTAGAAAGGGTTACTATGTGCCCTCTTCAATCCTTCTTACTGACTGGAATGATGGATGGAGATGGAGCAGCCATTTTGGACAGTGAATTGAGAGCCATGTGGAAAATGACAGAATTACAAGACAGAAGTTTGTGTCCCTGAGGATTGTGGAGCTTCCTTAAAATGACAGACTGACTATGTTTACAGCAAAGAGAAAGGAACTTGACTCTTAATGTTAAATAACAATTATTTTGAATTTCTATCATCTAGTCCTAATTGATATGTCACCCAAAGGTGAATTTTTTTTCTTCTGTTCACTGACAGTGAAATTGCATGTGAAATTTACCTTCTGATAGGGCATGCTGAAAGATGGGTCAAATTGCTGGACCTTTACATTAGCCAGATAGGTATTGAGGAAACATGAATTTTTCTATTGCAGTGGAACCATGAACCTTTTACTCTAAGTCAGCACTTTTATCTCAAATGCTTTTTTGGGATGAGGTAGATCATGAATAATACATCACTACTTAGTCTAGGTGCAATACAATCAAGACAGAGAAAAAAACCCTAACCACACCAAAACAAAATTTCACTCCCCACATTCTCTAAAACAAGTGGAACAACCTTCCCCTTGGGAGACACAAGCCTTGAGCCAACAAGGAATTGTGATTTTACTTACTGAACTTGGGCCTTTTACTCTTCTTTGCCATTTCTTTATTTGAATGTATTCCAGTCACCAGCAAAACTGCATGAAGAAAATAAAAATTGTAAAATGTAATCAATATTCTTTCACCTAAATGTTTCTCTCTTCTGAGCCTTATATTTTCTTTGATCATGCATATTCTCATCAATGGAACTTATTTTCCTATATATTAAGACTGGGAAACTGAGATGCATAGTTTGTGTAACCCTGGCTGAAAGGTTCTTTCAACGTTACCTCTTGCATACTTTTCCTTTGTTTTGCTGCCTTTACGTTTTGCCATACCAGTCTTACCATCTCTGTTTTCCACCGGAGGAGATGTAGGCCTGGAGAAGTCTACTGATTTTACCCAGTCCCAGTAATGAAGGAGAGAGGTGGGGTGAGCACCTGCACCTGTCTTGTGCCTTTTGCTCTGAGCCACAGAAATTTTCCAAATGGCCAATTTCCTAATAGCCAGAGACCTGCATATGAAGTGTGTGTGCACCACAAGTGGGTATCCATGTGTGTGGGCATGTGTGTGTGTGTGTGTGTGTGTGTGTGTGTATGACTGAGGGAAGGCTGAATGGACATGTAAAAAGCCTCAGCAGTGAAAGAAAAATACTCCAGGAGAACAATGTTAGGGAGAAAGGGGAAGATTCATGAACTCATTAGCTGAACATGCAATTAGGAGGTGGGGCCTCACTGGAGGTGAGTCCCTGGGAGGTATGACCTGGAAGGGGATATTCTTGTTCTGGCTCCTCCCTTCTCTCTCTGCTTCCTGGATGCCCAGAGTTGAGCAACTTTTCTTCTGCCATACCCTTCTGCCATGCCATTTCTGCCTTGGAGCCAGCTGGCCATGGACTGAAACTGTGAGCCAAAAAAAATTCCTTTTCCTTTAAGTTGTGAGTGTTGGGTATTTTGTCCCAGCAACAAGGAAGTGACTAGGACATAAGGTCTGAGAAGTGACTTGAGTGTCTGCTGGTGGTCCACTCCAGCAGCCCTGATTCTGTGTCTTCCTCAAAAACCCAAGGAGAACTTCAAACAGCACTTGGATACTGCTTCCTCTGGGAAGCAGAGTGATAAGGAAGAAGGGAGAACTCTCTATCCTTTTAAATTTGAAGTCACATTCCCAGTTTCTTTTCAAACACATAAAATGAACTTGAGCAGCAAGCTTTTAAAAAAATAACATGGACTGTTTTTCTTCTCGTTACAAAAGTAATACATGCTCCTGGTAGAAATATCTAAAAATCACAATGAAAATCTGTTCAGAAAATATGGATTAACACAACAGATAATATTATTCTCTCTCTCTCTCTCTCTCTCTATATATATATATATACACACACACACACACACATATATATATACTTTTAAACAAATATTTGATTTTAATAATGCTATTCATAACATTTTGTAACTTATTCCAACCTAAGGATATATATGTTCATTTTTCTTGTCATTAAATGTTTTCCATAGTAATTTTAACTGCCTTAAGTATTATACTATATCAATGTATTGTAATTTAGTCAGAATTCCATTTAATACAAAATAGCTTCATCTTTGCAAAGAACATTATTATTTCCTTAAAATAAAATTTCAAATGGAATTTCTTGCCTGAAATTTGTGCCCACTTAAAATTTTAATATATATTGTGACGATTTCTCATAGCAATTTTTTATTAGCCTCATATGACAATGCCCACTTCTCCATTCCTGCATTAATTCTATCTGTAGGCAGAAAAGCAGTATCTTTCCTTCCAAAATGCTCATCAATTCTCTTTATTCTTCTTCATTCATTCCCAGGCATCCTTCCACCTCAGCTACCCCATGGTGACTCTGCTTTAATTTACCACCATTTTAGCCACTTTTATGAGAAACTCACTTCTTTTTTTTGGTACTGGGGATTGAACTTGGGACCTTGTGCTTGTGAGGCAGATGGCAGAACCACTGAACTAAATTCCCGGCAAGAAACTCACTTTTGAGATAAAATTGGGACTCCAGAGATGAGTGTGGGGAAACCTAGCAATCAAATGGGAACTTTGGATTGGGGAAGTGGTTCAGTGGAAGAGTACTTGCCTAGCATAAACAAGGCCTGGGAGTCTATCCCCAGCATAACAAAAAATAAATAAATAAAAATTTAAAAACAATGTAGTGTTTGACCACCTAGTTCATGATTTTTTTTTTTTTAACCAGAATACAGATACTCAATTTGAGTATCAATGGACTTAGGAATTCTTAAATTGGCAGCTATTTTTAAAGGCAAAGATGTTAATGCCATCAAGGGATTAAGAAAAGTTTGTATTTATTTTAAGATTACCTAGTTTCTATAGAATGAACCTTTGTCCCCCTCCCTATTCACATGTTGAAATCCTAACCAAAAGGTGATGCTATTAGAAGGTAGAGCTGTTGGTAGGTGACTAGGTCATGATGGTGGAGGCCTCATCAATAGAATTAGTGCTTTTTATAAAGAAGTCCCTGAAAACTGCCTTGCTTCTCCCATCATGAAGGACATGGTGAAATGGTGGCTGTCTATAAACCAGGAAGTGAATTATCACCATGAACTGCCTTGATCTTGGTTTTCCCAGCCTCTAGAATTTTTACAAATAAATTTGTTTTTCATAAGCCACCCCATCCATGACAGTTTGTTCCTGCAGCCTGAGCAGACAGAGTAGCTAATCTATGCCAATGATGCAACCACTAATTTATCCCCAAATTTGACTATTAGCACTACACTAATTGAAATGTGGGCAGTTGACAAACCATGTCCTGCTGTTGCAAAATTTAAGAGATCAGAGAGACCATCAGGTGAAACAGGAGGATTTATTTAGGTGCACACTGGCTCAGCGGACTCACATCCAAAGGCTGAGCCCAGGACAGAGGAAGAGCTCTAGTTTTATATGTGTTGCAGAGTGGGGCTGAGCTACCTAACTGTAAAACTTGTGGACAGAAGCAGAACAAAGGCAATCAGTCAAGCTGTGACAGTCTTGCAACTTAGCATATCTTGGTGGCCTTGGTTGGGTAAAAACAGGATCTTATGAGAAGAGGAGGGTGTGAAACCTTACTTACAGGGACAAAGTTACTAATTTTGTTTGTACTAGAACAAAGAACAACATCCATAGGGAGGAGAAAGTCTAAGAAGGAACCACCTGGGTTGGGGAAACTTGTTTTTCCTTTTTTTTAAAAGTCCTGCCTCACTACAAGAACAGAACATGAAAGACTGTTGAGTGAGGGCCCAAAGTCCAGCCAACAAGAATGAAGGCAGACATTTTTTAGATGTTATTTACTTCTGGGATTTGGGTGGGTGTGAGTGTTCTGGAGGTCACTCGGCACCACTGAACTCTGTACAAAGACCACATTTTCATTTTATGTACAAAAATAAATATCTAGGATCCTAGAGTATGTTAAAAAAACAAGTACTAAATAAATAGATAGAAAAATCAGACAAATGAAGGAGTAGTGAAATAATAGAGTATTAATTTTTGGATAAAACCAATATGTTCCTTTTGGGCCTGTGTACCTTTGGCAAGTGGTCTAAATCTTAGTATTATAGGTATGGGGGCACTGAAGATAGGAAAAGATAGAATGAAGGCCTCATTGAGTTTTATTAAAAATTAATAAGGCAATTTTGACCTCTGTAACCAGAGTCCGGAAATTAGAAGGGCAGAGGCAGCTTGACTGAAGAATCAGAAAGACAAAGGCAGCTAAACTCAAGCAATTAAGAAGACAACAACAAAGAAATTAGAAGGAGGAAGTTCCCAGGTAGCGCCCTTAACATAAGAATCACAAACTTCCCCTCTACTTAATCCTTTAGCCTAAGCTATCTGTCTATAAGGCCCCCTCCCATATTTTTACCCTCTACCAAAGGACAGGGAAAGGGCACATGGCCGGAAGAAATCCAAGGTTAGGATGAAAAGCAAGGCAGGAAGCCAATCAGATTCCAAGAACCTGCATGGGACAAAGATCTCTATAAAGGGAGCAAGAAATGGAGACAAGCAAAAGGAGACAAGAAATGCACTGAGTTGCTCTCTTTCGGATACTCCCTACTTTTCCAGAGTAGCTATCTGTCATGTCTGTTCTGCCCCTCCCTCCTTATTCCCCTTTCCTCACCTTCAAATAAATTGTCTTCTTTTATTTTAAACCACTTCTTTAGATCCTTTACCTACACTGGGTTTAGAATCACTGAGAGCTGCATGTTCCAGCAGAGCAGTGGCTTGCTGTCCACCCCTGGTTGTTACAGTGTGGCATAGCTTGGCATGGTGTACAACCCTCCCCAGATGTTAAATTAACATTAGAACTATAAATATTTCAGCAATCACCCCATTACCTGTTTAGTCACCCAAGACCCTCTGGACTAAAAACATGCATCACTGGTTAAGTTTAGCAGCAGTGGTTAATACAGCCATTATTGTCAATGGTTCACACAAGCTCTCCCCTTAGTTTATGTGCTTAATTAAAGCTCTCCAGAAACCACTCCTCCAAGAGAGGGCTGGTCAATGGCTTCTAAATATGCTTGTGCCCTGGAGCAAATCTGCATTTCTTATCTGCAAGGCTTCTCTTGCTACATTGGACCTGGTGAATTGCATGTTGAACTTGGATGAGAGAAGCATCAGTCTTGTATTTGTTTTGCTCAGCTGCTTAGCAGAGCACCAAACAGAGAGGGCTGATGCCTGCCTGCTTCCATGGACAAAGCAGCAGACAAGTCTGAAACCCAGTCCCAGGTGCAAGAGTTGATCACTGTCTGTGTGCTGAGAATATTAGTATCTACAGACTATGAGGAAATAAAGTCTAGAATCCAAAGTTTCAAGGCACTCATCATTTACCAACTGTGCAGCAATGTTTCTCTGTGTTTTAAAATCTGGTGTGCTGGTTTTAAGTAACATAAAAAGGTCTCAACTTTGTTTAATTAGTAGTAATTGAAATTTCAAGGAAATTAAATATTATATTGCTTTTCTGAATAAAAAATTGTCACTACTTCATTCTTTTTGGTGTGACACTAAGTACAGTTAAGATATCTGGGGAATAATTGTTTTGAAATACAATTTAAAAAACTGATCATAGAGATAACTA